AATGCAGCATGTTTCTGAAGTTTATAAAAATAATTGTTATTGTGATTTCAATTTTGACCCAAATGATTTTTTTCCACAATCGAGCAGCCCTAGCCCAGAATATGTTCTAGTCTATGAGACGCAGTTCAATGATCAATACAGCAGCATCTACCTTGCTGGTTTTATTTGGAGCAGGCTGGGTAGGGGTGGGTGGGGTGGTGGTGGTGGTGGTGGGGGCGGCGGCGGCAGTGGTGGTGGTGGTAGTATGCGGGCCAGCCTGTGGAAGACTCTGGTGCTGGCTCACAGGTTGGCTGGATGCTCCACTTACAGGGATGTTCTGAACAGAGATACCATGGGGAGTGATGTAGTGGATCTGACCTGGCGTGGTCACATTGACTAGATCGTTGGTTTGAACCTCAATCTTATATCCGGGTGGCAAGAAAGTGTTAAAACCCATAATGAGGTCTGGGTGGCCCTTGAAGAGCTGGGATACACGGTTGATGACTCCAGGAGTGTCTATGCTGTAGTAACAGAATAAATGATAGTTATTTAGCATCTGATTCGACATTAACTGGGTCCACAGATATTGTCCCACATGTTACATGTTGTAGAACTTGTAGAAATACTATATATGGATTTTCTCCAGATGTTAAGGAAAATGGCAACGCAATCAGAACTCACCTCTGAGACTTGAACTCTTTCATAATATCAAGAAAATCATTATAAACTTGTGGCTGATTCCCAAACTGCAGCTTCACTTGATCCAGATAGGACAAGGCATCTTCAACCTGAAAAGAGAAAAGTACAAAACTAAATGTCTGATTTCCCCTGAATCAAACATTCTGTAACCAGCATACGCAGAATAAAAATCGACTTCTAATGAGAAAAGTCCAAAAAGTTCAAAACGTGCCAATCAGCTCACTTAGTACAAAGGCTGCTTTTTGAGATTTCATCACGTTATCACACTTGGCTCACATGGCTGTGACTTTGTCTTGTATATTTGGTATATTAGTCCATGTAGGGATACCTTCAGTCGCTGAAACTGCTGCTGTCCTTGAGTTGAAGTCATGGGTGCGGCTGGATGAACGTGACCCTGGACCACTGTTGGGCCCTGGGACTGAACCGCTAGGCTGTGTGCGTGGGGACCAACATGAGGTGCTGTATTGTTATGTCCGTGTCCATGTCCACTTGTGCTCTGAGGCATTGTAGGCACCTTTAAAGGAAGAAAATACTAGAATTTAAGATCCATACACGATAAAAGATTACCATGTCCTCAGTGGGGTTACAACAAGTTGTGTACATACATATCAGGGGTGAAAAGGGGAAAAGTAATCGATTCTTCAATGCAGATAAGTTAATAATCGGAATTTTATTAAATTAGTTCGCGTGCTGTAGAGCGCTACAGAAAACTCTCCTTTCTGCCTGGCGGTTCTCCGCCAACACACATGTGCGAGTTGTTTACATCCAAAGTTTAGTGGCGACAAAGTGGCTGCGAGCGACAAAACCTATAGCACCGGCTTCTTTAAAAGCTGCGATGTGGCAGCATTTTGGGTTCTATGAGGTCGATGGGAAGATGTGTGTAAGGTGTGTAGAAGTTAAATACTTTGGAAATACAATCAATCTGCGAAACCACATTTCTCGACAGCACTCAGAGTCTTATTCTTATAACTGACCAAGATCAGCTTTTTCTTTAATGACACAGAAAAGAAAGATTAGAAANNTTTACATACTTTCATATTGTGTTAAAATATAAGCTGCATTGTTCATAGAAAGTCATATTTGTGACAAGAAAAGCCTTTTCTCTAATAAAATACAGAGAAAGTAATTCATCTGTTGATCAGGACGAGATATTATAATAATTACACTGAATAAAGGTTTTTAAATGTTTAATCTTACACTGTGAAACATTTATAATGCAAGATTTACCTACTTTTAAAAAACAAATAAATTAAGAGGAGAGCTATAACAGCAACTCCTGCTCTGGGAGCTGCTGTCCAAACCGAACTATTGATACTGATTCATACCTGGTAGCCTTGGGGGAGAGAGTACTGGATGCCGGTGGATGGCTGCATGTTGTCTGCAGCTGCCTCTATCACAGGAGGAGCTGGGGCGAGGGCCCGGTGCTGGAAGCTGTCTGCTATACCTTGAACTGGGGGGCGACGTGATTGCTGTTGCTGGGGCGCAAATATTAGTTCCTGGTCCTCCACACGCCTCTTCATTGTATATGCATACTCAAAGCTGAAGTGGAGGGAAAAAAAACAGACGGGACAATAAACAGGCTGTTGGGTTTTAATCTGTGAACTTTAACAAACTATTTCAGGCATCAGAAAGTGCAGTCTACTCATATTTCTTTGCGGTACGTTTAGAAATAAAACTTTAATGCAAGGAGGACAGATCTTTGGTAAAGAGTAAATCTTAAAATTTCAGTGTAATAAAAAATAAAACTCTGCCACAAGTGTCATAAAAGTAAACAGCGATGTAGAACCACATATCTTAAAAGTTTTGTTTTTAAAAATATGATTTTTGCACAATCTCACTGTCTCCTAACGTTTCCTCGCTGTAGCCAAAGGGAAACATCTTAAAGCCTGAACTACTGGAGTCTGACAGCGTTCAGAGAGAACTAACGCTGATGTGGAACGTGTCCCACCTTGGAGCCAACACAGTGACAGATAGTTTAAATACATGTAATTACTCTCAAAAAAAAAGAGAGAGCATCCTTTATTTGTGCACTTGGAAAGGCACACTGATGAACAAGAGCACGTTTGAAAGCAAAGAACAAAATGCTAATCATAAACACACACACACGAGAGAGAAACCCTAAAAGCCAGAAAATAACTTAATCAAAAGAAAAGCATGTGGGGAAATTAATATACTAAATGTTTGTCCATTACTGTCTCTGAAAAAGACTTCATTGTTCAGCAGAATGGCTGTGACAGCCGGTTAGGGACCGTCTTTAAAGTGATAGACACAGCTGCTGTGGGCTTCTTTCCAGTCTGCAGAGTTAATATATATATATAAATTACTAAATAAAGACAAGGAACTCACAACAGGGTAAAATCTGAGATACAGGGTAGGTAATTACACAGTATATAAATACATTTACTGACAATATAACATCCTAATTTGAGTTCATAACATCGTTTTTTTAATTTACTGGCCACTGCATACCATCTGATCTTATAAGATATATATATTTTTTAAAAAATCCACTTCAAGTTCATACATAAAATGTTTAGGCGTAAACCAATCTATATATTTATTATCCATGTGGCTTCATACACATGTAGTCCACTGTCAGCAAAATAAATATCACAGCGATATATATATATATATATTTACATTTATATTCGCATTTAAAAGAAAATAACACCAAAAATCGGCAACATAACTGAAGGATTGCATAACTAAAAAGGACTCGGTGTAGAAACGTGTTGTGGAAAAAAGTAATTTATCGATAACCCCTCAACGCAAACGTCACTGCAGTCGGTCAGCGGAGAGGCAGACATTGTCGCCTCGCTGCCCTGCACCAACAATCTCGGAAAACACGGTGGCTGAGCGTTACAGCCTCCAGCTTCGACGTATTTCTTTAACCGAAACGCGAAAAGCAAATACGACAGACAGTGAAAGAAGGCGCTACCAAAAAAAAAATAACCAACCAAAAAAAAAATAACCAACACTTAAGGCATGTAGGCGCTGTCTCTCTCTCCCTCTCTCTCGCTCTTCCTCCCTTCACCTCCACTTCATCCTCCTCTTCCTCACTGCTGCCACCAACATGAACCACCTGTTACCGAGATGTTTAATAGAATTAAAGTTAAAAGTAAAGATGTTACAACCCCCCTGACCTCCATCCATCCATCCTCTCCCCTCCTCCCTCCCCCGGCCTGCACTCTCCTCTATCGGCCATTTGCATGACAGTCCGCTGCTGCACTTCAAAGAGCTCATCAAAGGAGAAGAGACAAACTTACAAATGACAGTAAAGAGACAGAAAAAGGACTAACATTTCTTCAGTCAGAGTGACGGCAGCTCCTCCATTCATCCATTCATCCATTCA